GACCTATAGTCACGACCATAGCATGATCTATAGTCAAGACTATATACTGATCGATACTATAGCATGATCTGTAGTCAAGACTATACACTGTTCTCTAGACAAGACTATAGACTAATCTGTAGTCTAGACAATAGGCTAATCTATAGTCAAGACTATAGACTAATCTAAAGTCAAGACTATAGACTAATCTATAGTCGAGACTATGGACTAATCTATAGTCAAGACTATAGAATGATCTATAGTCAAGACTATAGAATGATCTACAGTCGAAAAGTCGACTTTTTGCATTTAGTTAAAAGTCGACTTTTTTCATTTAATTAAAAGTCGACTTTTAGTATTTTATAAATAGTCGACTTTTTCCGACTTTTCGACTATTTTCGACTTTTTGATTATTTTCGACTTCTTTCGACTATTTTTTGACTTTTTTCGTGTTTTTCCGACTATTTTAGAATTTTTGACTTTTTTCCACATTTTTAAAATTTTCGACTATTTTTGACTTTTTTCTACTACATTCGAGTTTTTGACTTTTTTGCGACTTTTTTCTATTACTTTCAAGTTTTCGACTTTTTCCGAATTTTCGATTTTCTTCGACTTTTCGACTTTTTTCGACATATCGACTTTTTTCGACTTTTATTTACAAAGTCGACATTTTTCATAGAGGATAGTCGACTTCGGCTTTTCGACTTTTTTCGACAAAAAGTCGATTGTTCGGTTATTCGAAAGTCGATTTATAGACCCCTAGTCAAGACTATAGACTGACTAATCTATTATCAAGACTATATAATGATCTATAGTCAACACTATAGATGGACTAAACACTAAAGACTGATCTAAAGTCAAGAATTTAGACTAGTATATTATCAAGGTTATTGAATGATCTATAAATAATATAGAATGATCTATAGTCAAGTTTATAGAATGATCTATAGTGAAGATTATAGAATGATATATATTTAAGACTATCGAACGTTCTATAGTCAAGACTATAAAAAGATTTATAGTCAAACTATAGAATGATCTATAGTCAAGACTATATAATGATCTTTAGTCAAGACTATAGAATGGTCTATAGTCAAGACTACTGAATGATCTATAATCAAAACTATAGAACGATCTATAGTCAAGACTGTAGAATGATTTATAGTCAACACTATAGAATGATCTATAGTCAAGACTTTAGAATGATCTATAATCAAGACTTTAGAATTAACTATGTCAAGACTATAGAACGATCCGTGGTCAAGATTATAGAATGATCTGTAGTCAACACTATAGAACGATCTATAGTCATGAATATAGAACGATCTGTAGTCAAGACTATGGAATGATCTGTAGTCAAGAAGTCGTTTATTTTCATACATACATATAGCTTGGTATTAGTCAAGTTCATCGAACCAAAAATGGCATAAAATGTGAAAAGGACCTTAGAAATCCGAAACTATGCACAAATATTTACTATTACCACCTTATCGATTCACCCCTATTAACACCGGTGCATATTTTTAATGCTAATATTCTGTGGAGAAGGGTATATAAAATATAACTTTGTCACATAACAATATATTATTCTTAAACTCAAGTCTACTACAGTTTCTACAGTTAAATTAAAATGTAGTAACAGGGAATAAGTTAAAAACTAGACTGTAAAATTTTAGCACAAACTTTATGTAAAAAGAATAAGAAAAATTTCAGCATAAATATAAGTTGGTTTATATTAACTTGGAATTTAAACATTTAAATATAAATCGTTTCTTAATCATTCAAACAAGATTTATAACAATTTCTTTAAGTTAAGAAATTATTAATACAAAATTCACTTTTATTTTTAAAATTTTTTAATTAAATACAAAATATATGCTGTAATATTTAATATATGCAAAAATATGCGTTTATTTCACACTAAATATATCATGATTTTTAACATTTTAGAAAATTGATTTTGTGCTTAGAATTTATTTAATTTAAACTTAACTCACGATTATATATAAAAGATCATTAATCTTTTGATCTTTTGCTTTCTACCATAATAATGATGTTTTTGTCTGTTTCATTTTAATCTTATACATCTATATAATTTAATAGATTTGTTGCTAAAAACCGGTTCCATAATTCTTATGTTATGTTCATAGAAGACATATTTTAGTGGAAATTACTATTTTTAGCATAATTTAGTTTGATTTTATTTACTCTTTCGAGTGATTTGTAAGATTAAAAATACTTTAATAATTTTTGGTCATTTTGGGGTTAATTCGTCAGGTCGTGCTTAAAATAGTTAACGTATTGAACCTATACTCCATTCCTCCATTTCGTTCTACAAGTGGCCTCTGTGGATCACGAGTCTTGACTATAGATCATTCTGTAATCTTAACTATAGATCATAGTCTTAACTACAGATCGTTCTACAGTATTGACTATGGATCTTTTTTAGTAATATTACCCAGTATTTGTTTATAACCTGGTAGTCCAGTTCGAGCCGTTTCGCCTTTCTACTTGGAGATGACCGAGAATATATACATACATCTGAAATAGACCTTAGAATACCTTAAATATCGGTATAGATTCGAATATTTACTCTATATACTCGATTTAACCAATTTGCCAATTTGCAACCCGTTTTATGGATGATTATTTATGGCTTTAGAACGCTATAGTACTTTGAGAATGAGGTTGACAGTATTGTTTTAGAATCATCAGTATAAGTCCAAAATAGAATCAAGCCACCAATGTGAATTGATTCTAATGTGGATTGATTCCATTTGATTTTTTTTAAATCTACTGTAGTCGCTAAGATATTACCCGTTAAAGTTGACGGACGGACAGACATCGTTACGTCATATCAGAAAGTGATTTTGAGTCGTTTAAAAAATTCTTAGGTAGGTGTGGATCCAATATTTTTGCTCGTTATAAACAATATTTACAAAGCATACTACTTTTTGAATTTTGTAAAAATCAGCTATAGTTGCTGAAATATCACCCATTAGAGTTTACGGACGGACTGACATCGTTACGTCGTATGATTTTGAATCGTTTGAAACATCCTCAGACATCATTACGTCGCATCAGAAAGTGATTTTTAGTCGCTTGGAACTTCCTCAGATAGGTATGAATCTAGTATATCGTTATAAGTAATATTTACAATGCATAATACTTTTTGAATTTTGTAAAAATCTGCTATAGTTGTTGAAATATCACCCATTAGAGTTAACGGACGGACAGACATCGTTACGTCGCATCAGAAAGTAATTTTGAGTTGTTTGAAACATCATCAGATAGGTATGGATCCAGTATATCGCTATAAACAATATTTACAGAACATAATACTTTTTGAATTTTGTAAAAATCTGCTTTAGTTGCTGAGATATCACCCATTAGAGTTGATGGACGGACATACATCATTACGCCGCATCAGAAAGTGATTTTGAGTCCTTTCAAACATCCTCAGATAGGTGTGGATCCAGTATATCGTTGTAAACAATATTTACAAAGCATAATACTTTTTGAATTTTGTAAAAATCTGCTATAATAGTTGATGAGATATCACCCATTAGAGTTGACCGAGGACAGACATCATTACGTCATATCAGAAAGGGATTTTGTGTCGTTTGAAACATCCTCAGATAGGTGGGGATCTAGTATATCTTTATAAACTATATTTACAAAGCATAATACTTTTTGAATTTTGTAAAAATCTGCTATAATAGTTGATGAGATATCACCCATTAGAGTTGATGGACGGACAGACATCGTTACGTCGTATCAGAAAGTGATTTTGAGTCGTTTGAAACATCCTGTGATAGGTGTGGATCCAGTATATCTTTATAAAGTATATTTACAAAGCATAATACTTTTTGAATTTTGTAAAAATCTGCTATAGTTGTTGAAATATCACCCATTAGAGTTGACGGACGGACAGACATCGTTACGTTGTATCAGAAAGTGATTTTGAGTCGTTTGGAACATCCTCAGATAGAAGTGGATCCAGTATATCGTTATAAACAATATTTACAAAGCATAATACTTTTAGAATTTTGTAAAAATCTGCTTTAGTTACTGAGATATCACCCATTAAAGTTGACGGATGGACAGACATTGTTACGTTACATCAGAAAGTGATTTTGAGTCGTTTGGAACATACTCAGATAGGCTGAATGCAGTATATTGTTATAAACAATATTTACAAAGCATAATACTTATTGAATTTTTTAAAAATCTGCTATAGTTGCTGAGAGATCACCCATTAGAGTTGACCGAAGGACAGACATCGTTACGTCGCATCAGAAAGTAATTTTGAGTTGTTTGAAACATCATCAGATAGGTATGGATCCAATATTTTTCTTTATTAATAATATTTACAAAACATAACACCCTAGGCACTATAATAGTGTTGGCTATAAAATCCAATGAATACTCCGAAAATCAAGAGTTTTCGAGATTTAGGTGAATATATCTCGAAGAAGAAAGAAGATATATTAAGCCTTTATTTTAAACCTGACAGATAACTTTGTCTTGGCGCTGTATTAACGTCTCAAAATAGGCTAAAAATTACGTTTTTACAAATTTCAGGACACGATATCTCAAATCCCATGAATTAAGGTTTACATGAAGCATTGGTTTCGTACCTAGTTTTGCACCTAGTACATAGGTCGGGTATATATTATCATTTAAGACTTTCGTTATATGTTGGAATAAACCAGGTCATTATAAGGACAACATTGTGTTGCAGATCGGCAGTAATTATACCATTTGATGGTTGGCATTATAGAGCATGATCTGATATAGTATAGTTATTCGACATAAATGGCAGAAAGTGTGCAAATACATACAAATTGAACCAGGGACCTAATAGGACCATACTTTAAAAGTTAAAATATGACTAGTATATGATGTGACTACTATAATGAATCCTTTGATCAGTTAAGCCTGACTATGTATTTCACTTTTTACTTTTAATAACTTTTTCCAAAAATTTTTAACAAAAAAATATATGTTTAAATACATACCACAACATTGATTTAATACGGCTAATCCACAAAAAGAATATTGTTTGTAGTATTTGTTTTTTTGTTCTCAGCAGCAATAAGTATTTATTATAAATATTTTTTTTAATTATTTTTTTTTTATATAAACTTTTCTCTATGCAGTTATATGTATAACTTATGCATAATAATTTGATAATATTTTCATTAAATTTAACATTTTTATATAAATATTTTTTTTTATATTTGCATTTATTTTAAGCTGAGTAATTAAAATTTATCCTGTTTTAATTGCATTCTTATGGGCAAAAATTAAAACATTATTTTTTTTTAAATTTGTTTGTTAGCCAATGCTAAGGCGAATTATAATATTTTCAAGCATTTTTTTAAAACATATGAACACTTTTAGATTGAATTAGTATAACTTTATTTTAAAAGATTTTTTATATATAATTTTTTTTTTAATTTTTCTAACACTTTGTTGCTTATTTTCTTTTCACTTTAGATTTTTAATAGTATATTTTATAATTTTCTTGTTGATAATATGATTTCTTCAGCACAATTTCCTTTCACAAACTTTATAATATTTTTCTGTATTTGTTTTACTATAACTTTTTGTTGTTGTTTCAGTTTGCTGCAGTTTCAACTGGAAATCTATTTAAGACCATAAACTGTAAAGACTATAAAATGACAGAAGATAATCTTGTTAGGTTTTTTTATTTTTTTGGTATATTTTATATATAATAGTTGCTGCAGTTTGTGGCAGCAGTTAACATTTAAGCTTTATATGTATTTAAAGAAAATTGCTGAAAAACTGGTTGCAACTTCTATTAACTGCAAATCTTATTATATACTTAACTCACAACCAAATGTGGTTTGAATTTATACAACAAAAAATTTTAACATTATGTATAGAGAGAAGCCCACAAAATTCAGCAGCAGCCAACAATAACAGGTTTGTAAAAAGTAGTTTTTCTGTGGTAAACTAAATTTGCTAAAACTCTATTTAAAAGACCAAACACAGACTTCTAAATAGCAAAGTTCGTTAAGTGCTGAAATTTCAGCAGGACTTGTAAGCTAAGCTGCTGACTTGTCACTAGTTTTTATGGGAACAACTTTTAAAATGCTTTAAACTTTTAAGTGAAAAGAGTTTTACAAAGACAGTTAAGGGAGAAAGGCGAGACAACAGATATATTTCTCTCACAATATTTACAATGAAGTTGTGTACTCAAGTTCGCTAGCATACATGTGGCCAGCAAATTAGTTGCAATTTCTTAAGCGAATTCAAAAACCCGAAGCATCAATTCAATGCCGATCTCTATTCCTATACATTAAAAGTTTTAAAAAAGTTACAATTCTTAAGTTATTTTTCGGAATATTTCAAAAAATATTCCAAGACCAAATTTTAAACTCGTGCCTACCTAAGCCTATTTCCTTTCCATTTATGGCTGATAACAAAGAATAACAAATTTGTATCTCCGAGAAAAAAAGTATTCTATTCTAAAGAATGCTTTGCTCTGAAAACGTATCTGGCATTAGAACTCCTTCTACACATCTAGTTTTCGAGATATCATAGCCATCGTTTGTAAATTTTATAGGTTCAACTGTTACACCTTCGATCTTCTTCTTCTTCTTCTAGATATGTAAAGAAGAAATACCTTCTTGTATAGGTAATCCGAAAGTCCAATCTGTCGACTTTAAAATTAAGGTTTAACCTTTGTTATATCTTCTTTCTTCTTTAAGATAAGTGAAGGAAAATTTTTGATTTAGATATAGCGCAGTTCATTCCAGTTCATTTAACCGAAAAACCAATCTGTGAAGAAGAAATTCTGATGTCAGATTCGGTTTCAGTGCAGGGCAATCCTGTATGATATAGGAAATGTTGTGACATCATCCGAAAGACCAAACTGTCGACTTAAAAATAAAAGTTTAACCTCGGTTATATGTTCCTTCTTCTTTGAGATATATGTGAAGTAGAAATTATGGAACCAGGTTCGGATTAGACGGCTTTCAAGTCTGAAAAGTGTAGTTTTTTTCAAATTTTGTTGGACTGTAAAGTTCAGTATGAAGGATACTACATTTATATGGAAGTTTAATGAAGGAATCATTCTCTTATGGGCCGTTTTAGAACCATCAATATAAATCCTATATAAGCCATTATTAATTACAGATTTCATGTCATTTGGAACGTCTGATTTCGCTTCGGAGAGGTCAATCTAGTATATTCTCAAGACTATTGAAATCAGTGACATGTTCGTTTAAAGTTCTATAACATACAGCCTTGATATTGGGTCCAATTACAGAGTTGAGAGCAACTGCTTATTTCGAGTTTCTGGAAATGTGAGTTCATAGATTGAACATAATACTTCAGCTGGTAAGTCCCACAAGTTGTTCAATCAAACCCATAATTGCTTCATTATTACCAAATCCATATAGGTCCGATGTTTGTGGAAAGTTTTTGACTTAACGTCTAGGATACCATTGATTGATAATGTCCATCCGAAAACTCTTGTAATAGAGATAATGAAGGACGCTACATTGATATGAAAGTTTGAGTAAAACTATCGTTCTCGTATGTACCGTTTTAGAAAGATCAGTATATATCCTATATGAGCCATTATGGAGGATTTATTCCATGTCATTTGGATCGTGTGATTTCGATTCAGAGAGCTTTTATATTCATTATGATTTGGGAAATTCCTAAGACTATTGAGTATAGTGATAAGTTCGATTTGAGTTCTATTCCATGCACCCTTGAACTTAATATCGTCCAATTAAGGTTTGAGAGCAACTTCTTCTATAGCATATCGAGTTCATTTCGGAATCTTGTATTTCCACTACATCCACTACATGTAATGAGTGATTTAAGTGAGTATTTCATACTTTGCGATATGATATCCAGGAGTTTATGAGATATTGTAATAGTTTTGGATCCACTTGACTTGAGTTCCAGGAAACGAGAGTTCACAAATAGGAGAATTCCGATTGATAAAGTTAATTTCGGAATCTTGTATTTTCTAATCCATTACTGGTCCTATAGGTACTGAGTGATTTAAGTGAGTATTTCATTCTTTGCGATATGATATTTAGGAGTATTGTGATAGTTTTAGATCCACTTGACTCGAGTTTCAGGAAATAAGAGTTCATAAATTGGAGATAACATTTCATACTGAGAGTCCCAGAAGTTGCTCAATTATTTCATTGATACCAAGACCACTTAGGGCCGCTATTTATAGAAAGTTTTTGGCTTAACAGCTAGAATTCCATTGATTGGTAATATCCCTCCGAAAGCTCTTATCGGAGATAGGTATCCTCGTTTATCGTTTAGAATGTTCAATTTCTTATGTATTCCAAACCAAAGAAATCTCATTTTTCACTATAGTGGAACTCATCGGATTTCATCTTAAAACAATATCTTGTTTCATTACAGAAGACAAATTTCAATTCCTTTTAATTTTTAATGAAACTAATTCACTCACACACCTAGTTATTTGAACACAAAAGTTAAAACAACAACTACAACAACTTTCTGTTGTCAAAGAAAATGTTGTTTGTTAAGTGTGGCCAAAATAAAAAAAAATAAAAAACACAGAAAAAACCGGTAACTGAATTTGCCACTCTGGTCTGACGCCGTTTATACAAGTACATATTTTTGTATGTCTGTCTGTACGTCTGCAAAACTTATTGCAACATAGAAAATCCAAAAAGAAAGACAGACTGTATTAAAACATCACCCATAAGTTTGAGTACATGTCTCACACACATAGCAACACTTATACATGTACATATGTATGTATACATAAAACTTTATTACAATTCCTTAATTCCTCTTTTTTTGTTTATTTTTATTACTTTATGTTGTTTATATTCCTTTTTTTGTTGTTATTTTTCTTTAACAACTTTATGCCACCACTAACTACAACAATATAATAATTTATGGCCAAAAGTAAACACAACAACAAGTTTTGATATGAAATACATATATAGAAATACCGGTTATTATTATATATTTTTTTTTTAATTAAACCATTAATAAAACGTTTAGGTTTTCGTATATTCCGTTACAACACGTCTTAACCGCACGAAGAGCTCAATGAAACTAAATGTTTGTCTGCAAGCCCAACACAAAACCACCACCATAAACTTGTTTATAATATTAATGTTTATGTTGTAGAAACAATGTTGCTAGTGATATGTTGTTAAACATGTTTCTAAAATTGTTATGTGGGTATTTGTGTGGAGAGTAAAAAAAACAAGTTAAAATTTAAAATAATAAACATGTGAATGATTTGCAGATCATGCATGCATGACATCGAACATGTTGTGTTATGTTTGCTAATGAAGTTGTTTACTATTGAATGTTTTGAAATAAGTAAGCAAGGGATTTTTGATTAGATTTTGTTATTCTATCGATATCTTTATAAGGTTTCAAGACGTTCTAATTAGATCCTCCAACTATTGTTAGTTCAAACTTTAATGATCTTCTTAAAATGTTTTAAAATGAATGACTGCAGTATCATTCAAGCTCAAGTATCAGCTAAGGTACTATCGGTTATCCAACAGAGATATCAGAATTTATATTGATAGTTAAGCTGCTATTAAATCTCTTACTGGTGTGTTTACCACCAGTAAGAGATGAATGCTGGACGTCTCACAATGCGATGGCGAGACATTCGAACATTACCCTTGTATGGGTCATAGAACACTAGCCAGAGTTGAAACAACCCTAAGTTCTGTGGTGTTGCACTATTTGAAATAAAACAACAAATTATAGAGAAATATGACTGTATTACTCAGGATCAACGGTCGTCTAAGCACACCTGCTCGATAGCTGAGGCTCGTTTTGGCACAATATAGACCCGTGTAGGACTTACTATCTACTTGTACTTCATAGATTTCAATTAAATAAGCTTTTTGACCATTTAATAACTTCTGTAGATGTTGTCTGAATGAAGATGAGACCGTATCCCACTTTCTCTGTAACTATCCTGCTTTAGCTGCGGCTTGAAAACGTACGCTTGGGTCGTCCTATTTTAGTCTATCTGATTTATCAAATGGTCAGCGCTTTTAAACTCGATAGAATGGGTGTGAATTTCAATTCTCATCAAACTGGGCGTAGTCATTAGTATACGTCTCTACTCTACAACAGTTATACTGCCCGTTTCCTTTCTCGTCGGCTTTCCTTTCCTAACGCCTCTCTATTTTTCTTTTTTTTTTCTTTTTTTTTTTACTTCTTTCTTTTCCCTCTTATCCCCTTCCTATCAATGTTGGAAATGCTTTATTTTAGTCAGTTTGTTTGTTTTTTAAGTTAGTTAGTTAGTTAGTTAGTTAGTTAGTAGTTAGTTAGTTAGTTAGTTAGTAGTTAGTTAGTAGTTAGTTAGTAGTAGTTAGTTAGTTAGTAGTTAGTTAGTTAGTTAGTTAGTTAGTTAGTTAGTTAGTTAGTTAGTTAGTAGTTAGTTAGTTAGTAGTTAGTTAGTAGTTAGTTAGTTAGTTAGTTAGTTAGTTAGTTAGTTAGTAGTTAGTTAGTTAGTTAGTTAGTTAGTTAGTAGTTAGTTAGTTAGTTAGTTAGAGTTAGTAGTTAGTTAGTTAGTAGTTAGTTAGTTAGTTAGTTAGTTAGTTAGTTAGTTAGTTAGTTAGTTAGTTAGTTAGTTAGTAGTTAGTTAGTTAGTTAGTTAGTAGTTAGTTAGTTAGTAGTTAGTTAGTTAGTTAGTTAGTTAGTTAGTTAGTTAGTTAGTAGTTAGTTAGTTAGTTAGTTAGTTAGTTAGTTAGTTAGTTAGTAGTTAGTTAGTTAGTTAGTTAGTTAGTTAGTTAGTTAGTTAGTTAGTTAGTTAGTTAGTTAGTTAGTTAGTTAGTTAGTTAGTAGTTAGTTAGTAGTTAGTTAGTTAGTTAGTTAGTTAGTAGTTAGTTAGTTAGTTAGTTAGTTAGTTAGTAGTAGTTAGTTAGTTAGTTAGTTAGTAGTTTAGTTAGTTAGTTAGTTAGTTAGTTAGTTAGTTAGTTAGTAGTTAGTAGTTAGTTAGTTAGTTAGTTAGTTAGTAGTTAGTTAGTTAGTAGTTAGTTAGTTAGTTAGTTAGTTAGTTAGTAGTTAGTTAGTTAGTTAGTTAGTTAGTTAGTAGTTAGTTAGTTAGTTAGTTAGTTAGTTAGTTAGTTAGTTAGTTAGTTAGTTAGTTAGTTAGTTAGTTAGTTAGTTAGTTAGTTAGTTAGTTAGTTAGTTAGTTAGTTAGTTAGTTAGTTAGTTAGTTAGTTAGTTAGTAGTTAGTTAGTTAGTTAGTTAGTTAGTTAGTTAGTTAGTTAGTTAGTTAGTAGTTAGTTAGTTAGTTAGTTAGTTAGTAGTTAGTTAGTTAGTTAGTTAGTTAGTTAGTTAGTTAGTTAGTTAGTTAGTTAGTTAGTTAGTAGTAGTTAGTTAGTTAGTTAGTTAGTAGTTAGTTAGTTAGTTAGTTAGTTAGTTAGTTAGTTAGTTAGTTAGTTAGTTAGTTAGTTAGTTAGTAGTAGTTAGTAGTAGTTAGTAGTTAGTTAGTTAGTTAGTTAGTTAGTTAGTTAGTAGTTAATTAGTTAGTTAGGTAGTTAGTTAGTTAGTAGTAGTTAGTTAGTTAGTTAGTTCGTTAGTTAGTAGTTAGAGTTAGTTAGGTAGTTAGGTTAGTTAGTTAGTTAGTTAGTTAGTTAGTTAGTTAGTAGTTAGTTAGTTAGTTAGTTAGTTAATTAGTTAGTTAGGTTAGTTAGTTAGTTAGTTAGTTAGTATTAGTTAGTTAGTTTAGTTAGTTAGTTAGTTAGTTAGTTAGTTAGTTAGTTAGTTAGTTAGTTTAGTTAGTTAGTTTAGTTAGTTAGTTAGTTAGTTATTAGTAGTTAGTTAGTTAGTTAGGTTAGTTAGTTATTTAGTTAGTTAGGTTAGTTAGTTAGTTAGTTAGTTAGTTAGTAGTTAGTTAGTTAGTAGTTAGTTAGTTAGTTAGTTTAGTAGTTTAGTTAGTTAGTTAGTTATAGTTAGTGTTAGTTAGTTAGTTAGTTAGTTAGTTAGTAGTAGTTAGTTAGTTAGTTAGTTAGTTAGTTAGTTAGTTAGTAGTTAGTTAGTAGTTAGTTAGTTAGTAGTTAGTTAGTAGTTAGTTAGTTAGTTAGTTAGTTAGTTAGTTAGTTAGTTAGTTAGTTAGTTAGTTAGTTAGTTAGTTAGTTAGTTAGTTAGTTAGTTAGTTAGTTAGTTAGTTAGTTAGTTAGTTAGTTAGTTAGTAGTTAGTTAGTTAGTTAGTTAGTTAGTTAGTTAGTTAGTTAGTTAGTTAGTTAGTTAGTTAGTTAGTTAGTTAGTAGTAGTAGTTAGTTAGTTAGTTAGTTAGTTAGTTAGTTAGTTAGTTAGTTAGTTAGTTAGTTAGTTAGTTAGTTAGTTAGTTAGTTAGTAGTTAGTTAGTTAGTTAGTTAGTTAGTTAGTTAGTAGTTAGTTAGTTAGTTAGTAGTTAGTTAGTTAGTTAGTTAGTAGTTAGTAGTTAGTTAGTTAGTTAGTTAGTTAGTTAGTTAGTAGTTAGTAGTAGTTAGTTAGTTAGTAGTTAGTTAGTAGTTAGTTAGTTAGTTAGTTAGTTAGTAGTTAGTTAGTTAGTTAGTTAGTTAGTAGTTAGTTAGTTAGTTAGTTAGTTAGTTAGTTAGTTAGTTAGTTAGTTAGTTAGTTAGTTAGTTAGTTAGTTAGTTAGTTAGTAGTAGTTAGTTAGTTAGTAGTAGTTAGTTAGTTAGTTAGTTAGTTAGTAGTTAGTTAGTTAGTTAGTTTAGTTAGTTAGTAGTTAGTTAGTTAGTTAGTTAGTAGTTAGTTAGTAGTTAGTTAGTTAGTAGTAGTTAGTTAGTTAGTTAGTTAGTTAGTTAGTTAGTTAGTTAGTAGTTAGTTAGTAGTTAGTTAGTAGTTAGTTAGTTAGTTAGTTAGTTAGTTAGTTAGTTAGTTAGTTAGTTAGTTAGTAGTAGTTAGTTAGTTAGTTAGTTAGTTAGTTAGTTATTAGTTAGTTAGTTAGTTAGTTTGTTAGTTAGTTAGTTAGTTAGTTAGTTAGTAGTTAGTTAGTTAGTTAGTTAGTTAGTAGTTAGTTAGTTGGATGGTTTCGCAGTCAAATTTTTTTCTTACTTTCAAAGCATTATTACGACCTATTTTCGAGTCCCGACATATTCGTAGCTATTTCCATACAAAACATATCGCTTGATACAATCTGCAAATAAAACAAACAATTTATTCAGTCCTTCAAGAACAAAATCATAACATTCTCCTTTTTTCTATCTAACTGCAGTCAGTGTTCGCTGTGTTCGTTAAATTTTCAACATTTTCTATGGATCCTTGTATTGAATAACTTTCAATACAAACAAAAAAAAAAAACTGCAACGTATTTAAGCATATCACTTAAATGACAACATTCGAAAGTCCTTTCTGTAAAATCGTTATACATATAATGAAAATTTTCATTAGACAACCCAAAACAAAGAAAGCATCGAAAATATAGTATAGTAAATGTAAACCTTTCTAAAGTTTTAATGTAAATTAATGCGATTCATTGACTTGGAAACCAAACAGAAATGATAGACCAACAATGATAAAGTAATCTAAAACATACGGACTAACATACAGACATACATATTGTATGTATGCATATGAAGGTAAGATAACCCAGCAGTTCTGCGGGGTTAGTAATATTGTTTTTTTTTTATTGATTATTTTTTCCATTACAAATGATGAGTAGTCTCAGCGATAGATTCGTGTCTTTCTATTAGACTACTTGGGAATACAAAAGATAATTTTAATGTTTAACTTTCTCTCTGCATTATCTTTAAAAGGGGGTATTTTGTCTCTTTGTAGAATGTCTGACTGTCTACATGAGCAATTTATATAGATAAATACACAAAACCAAAAGTCGTGTTAAGTATAGTATAGTCTCAGGGTGATAGAATTAAGATAAAATACATAATTTAAATCTTATATTACAACAAAATTTGCATCACATACACAATGATAATTGAAATGTGGAAAATTTAAAAAATATATATTAAGCTTTCTTAGTTTAAATTTAAGTATGAAGAAACTAAAATAAATTAAATTAATGAATGTGAAAAATCAAAACTGTAGTTTTCAGACTATTTGTCA